TCGCATTATTCTAATGGTGCCGCTGCGGCATATAAGACTCAGCTAGTTTCTTGTAAATGAAATTTTTATATACCGGATATATCTCTTGGCGCAACATTTTAAAAAATTCCAACGTTTGCTGGCGAGCGTTAGAACACGAAAGCTTTTAAATTACGATGATAGCATTTACGACGCAACATTTTCAATTCACGGTAACAGGAACAAAATTAAATTCTAAAATGTCTTCATAGATCTACTTTGTAAGGAGAAAAATGCACGTTTAAAAAAATGACACAGATTTACTTCAAAGATTTTACTCCGTGAATTGTAATGCATTCGCACCTGCGAAGTCCATAAGTAAAATTGAGAAGTGCAATATATAAAAGTCCAACTTGATTTCGTGAAGTAATATAATAATGTGAGCCCGCATACACACACATACATATATAATACTCCCGCATTGAATTTCACTCTTCAAAATGCAAAATAGATTATCCTATATTACGATATAACGAGAGAATCGTTAAATTAGAACTCAGATTTTGACGCGAAATAAAATTCTATTATCCGCGAAATAAGAATTATATATTTTTAAATCAGAACTAAATTGCAATAATTTACTTTTTCTTAATTTTCTGAAACTTCATAGAATAAATGTGACAAAATAAATAACTTGCATAGAAATTTATAAAACCAGCACAAAAAAAAATAAAATATATACGTATAAGTATAAAAATTGCAATTTAAAATAATTCCGCGATTATCCTGAATATTCATGAAATAATTGCCGAAACACAAATAGTCAGCGTTTCAGAAACAATAATGATGTTAATTTCATAATACGCTAAACACATTTCGCGTTTACGACAATCTGCGACACGCAAATGTCACCTGATTATGCGAGACGACGTAGCGGCATGAATTGATGCAACCCAGAATTATGCAAATACCGGACACGTATAATTCGTACAGCAGATGTCATCCCCTAACTGTACAAGATCGATACACACTTTACGATATTGCCGAGATACACGAGCATAATGGCTAGCAATATATTACTCACATTATGAGTCTGTGAAATAGGCTCTATTTAAAATTCTTACACGCCGCGGCTGGTTTTGCCATTTCACCTTTTCCCCTCCGTGTCTGTGAAATAAAAAATTCACGTACTTTGCAGTGCAATTTTACACGAGGACTTGAAATGCAGCGTTAGCATTTTAGAGTCACAACATCACTGGTTGGCCTTAACATATGCACACAAGAGAGAGAGAGAGAGAGAAATTATAAAAAAATAAATAAATAAATAAAATATTTTATGCTACAAAATAACTTTTTAGTGAACTTTTGGTTAAAAAGCGACGAATTTCTGTCGAGTTTCAAATTTAGGAATCGCATAAAGTTGAATTATGAGCTTCAATTCGAGCATTCACTCAAAGGTTACAATTACTCATTGGAAATAATTAAAGATCGCCAATTGATTGATCATTCGATCCAATACGTGCGAAATAATCGTTGTTGACATGGAAATAATCGTAATGAATCGACTGCGGCAATTGTGGGTGTAAGCAAATGTCAGTAATGACGATCCGATCTATATTTGTACTCTTTAATGACGTGAAACGTCAAAATCGAACGGTGATGAAAATCAACCGCGTATTTGGGCCTGACCTAATTTCACTATGAGTGTAATACGATATAAACGCGATGTTATAAAGTGCCAAAATGAGACACCTCCTGTGCAATTCGGGCGCAGGAAGCGTCTTGCAAATTTAAGATCGATACGATGTATACTCGGTAATTTTGCCGTAAAGAGGTCACAACTATAGGCATCGGAAAAAGTCATTTTTCGCTGAGACTTTTCCTGAGATCCGAGAACATCGGAGAATGAGTTTGCTTCAATTGAATTAATCATCTTCTTGTCTTAATTCATTTTCTTTTTCTTTCGACAAAATAAATTATGTATATAAAATTGTCTAAGAAAGAAATCGCACAGTAAATATGAAATATACATTAAATTCAAAATAAATGTATAGGACACTTTAAAAGAATTAAGTAGAGTCTCAGATATTTTTAAATTTATGTAGGCTAGATAAAATTAGCTAATATATTAAATTTGCCTCTTATAAGGAATGCTAACTTTATAATTCTACTTAACTTGAAACACGATACAACGATAAAAAGCTATATTGGTAATTGAAAGTAATTACATATACCGATGTTGACACGAAAGATCGATATTGTGGAAGGTCGCATCTGATGCAAATCGATATGGCAGCAATTTTGCAAACAAATTCTATACTCAGGCACAAAATAGCATCTTGTACATACATCTGAACTATTAAAACTAGATGGTTAACAAATAATCAGAGTTACACATTCACTCACAATTATATATAAACGACATATACGCAATTTTAAAATTAAGATTTATCAGAAACTTATGATTCCAATGTAAGTATGATACACAATTGACTTCATAATTTGTCCAATATAATTATAGGTTTATAGAGGCAAATTCTGAAATTGTTTAAAATTTTTTTAAATCAAATTTTAAGGCAAAATATATAATGTACAAATTCACACGATTCAATTTTCACAAAGCTTTGCTCGGAGCGTCGAAAAATTAAACTCGCACATGATTATCGTCTATCGCGTTTTATTTCTGGAAATTTATTAGCTTCAGGCCAAGTTAAATATTATCAAACATTTGCATCGCGAATAATCATCAGACGAGAGATTAACAATTTCATCTTCTTAGATCAATAATACCGCAACCTTTCCACAATCTGCCGCAAGCGATGACATATGCTTCCGTGAATCTCTCGACAGAATATCGTCTAACCATATAAGTTCGAGTATCGACTCTGACTTGTTGATTTCGCGCGTGTTGGTGTATTTATACAACGTCATTCACACTTTGACGTATTCTATTGGAAACGGATATCGCTGACGGCTAACAAACTAAATTTTAATACATTTAGTTAGGATCAAAGTAAACAATATTGAACCTCAATATTATACAACGAGTAATCATACTTGAAAATCATAATACTGTAGTAATAAATTTTTCTGATATTAAAGACAAATATTGTCCAGAGAAAAATTCAATTTCAAATATTCTATTTTGATAATCTATTTTGATAGTGATAATTTTTACTAATTTCAATAGGATACATTCCTTTTACTCGCATAATAAATGGATTAACCGACCGTTAACGATATTTAAAATCTCGAAGCGTTAAAATCACGACCTGAAATCGCTTTCCTCGCCAGCGATTTTGCGAAAGCGCGGTTTTATTTTTGCCTTACTCCTTTCGAGCACAGATGTCCAGGAAATTGTTTCCCCTCGAGGAGAAATGAGAGTTAACTCCAATAGTCTTGCTCCAACAATCTCACATCGCGAAATGCGGGCATCGGAAATGTGGAAGCTCGCTAAAACTTTAATTCTATTTCTCGCATAGCGCTTCCGATCGGAAGGTCACCGACGAACGCGGAACTGAAATTGCCGCAGGATAACATTCTGATCCTCGATACGCGATCGACGACGACACGAGGGAAGAAAACAGCGTCGCTACACTACTTGCACACTTTCCGAAAGTGAGCTTTTCTCCGAGTCGACGAGTGCGGGTTTTAAGGTGGCTCAACTGCGGAAATCCGACGGCTGACTGGAGGATTCGCAGACGCGCGTCTTTAATTTAGAGACGCCGAGCGCCCTCGACCTCGCACGCTGCATGCGACTGGGTTGTGCCAGTGAAACGAAGGCGAAATGTATAAGTGTTCGTGCATATACGTGCACATTTTGCGGCACTTTACAACGTGTATCCGAGACAGTGATGGTTCACTAACAGATATAGCACTTGGAAGTGTCGTCGGTCGTCACCGCGGGTAATTCTGCCGACTAATTGGCGAAAACCTCTACGTACTCTCTCTCCGCATCTCGGTTTGGAGAACCAGCTCAGTGTAGAGAAAACGTGATTTCGTGACCACTAGGAAGGAATCGTTAACCACGAAATTGTTAACGACGATGATCAAACCATTATCGTATTAGAACCGGTCTAGCAATTACCATAGCCCGAAATCTTTGTATCCCTTCACATAATTGAGATACCAGTTTAATTAGAATATCAGATCAGCAATATTCTATGCACTAAATTACATTTCGATGCTTTGATAGAAAATTTGACTTCTCAAAATACATAAATAACAAAATATAACTCTTTAAAATAATTGGTAGATCACTTCTTTAATTAATTGCTTCAATTTCTACAGAAATCGTCCAAGAGAATCTCTAATTAATTTGAGAATATATATATATATATATATATATATATATATATATATCTATATATAGAATTTCGAAGTCGTATTGAATGAATACAGAATTTAATTGATAATGAGAAATCGTTTACAAATTTAATAGAAGAAAGAAAATAGTTTTAATGGAGATTTTTAGTGGAAGATTATAAGAGAATTAATCAAATCTTTGAGTTTATGAAAACTTGGCAATGAAGTTAATTGGATCTGCTCAAGCGACAATATCGTTTCCTGGGATTGCATAAGGACGTATTAAATCATTAATGCCTTGCGACTTCATCCGGAGGTTACCACCCTCGAGACCGTCTTGCATATTTTAACGAAGGTAATCCATGATTTTCTCCCGCGTTTTCAAACGTATAAATCCGTATTATTATTTAGCTACTATTTTCGTACGCATCGAGTCAATCTTTAGGTAGCTCTCCGCCCGTTAAAAACCCGTATCGCGGGTAATAAATCCCGCACTTTATCGCGTTCTAATAAAATCACCGGCCATAAAGTAAATGCGTTTATCGAGCATGCGAAACGCTCTGTCTTTCAAGAATCTTTTTCACAAATTTAGCTGAAAAATGGCAACGTCACTAGTAAAAGATATAAAATTAAAAAAATATATTTTTGTGTAACATATTTTTTTAATCTCGCCAAACGAAGCAACGAATATACCGATTGATTAAAAACAAAAGTGTTGATTATTGCGATCGACTTACCCATGTCGTCGATTATAGGAGCCATCCGCAGCGTTACACCGACCAAGAGCAGGGACATGGCGAGTAGAAGACAAGCGGTCAACATGATCGTCCATCGTGCACGAGGAGGCAGTTCCTCGGGATCGACAAGCTCCTCATCCGGATGGAAATCCGGAACGACGGAATCGATCTTGCGCCGTTTACGTTTGCGCTTTCTTCGTGGTCGGTGATACCTTCCCTGAGGCTCGTTTACCTTCTCCGGACCGCTCAAGGTTTCTTCCTCCTCCAGCTCATCGGCTACGTTCAACGCTACATAGTCGTCATCGTCGTAATGAATTTTTCTGGAAAAGACAAAAGTAAAGAGATAAATATTTTTTTATTATTCGCTCGAATGAAAATTCATTTCGAAGTTCCAAGTGAGTAAAAATTGGCTTGAAAACAAAATCCATCATATAGGTAATACCAAACTATTGTTTTCACAACGGGCTACTGTTATAGCTTATCAAATCGTTACTTGATCAGTACCGTTTCGGATATGAAATACGTCAATAATCCAATTGTGCATCTGGCGTTTAATTTAACTTGAATAATAACATTTTATTTATACATTTTATTTATACATTTCTCATACATCTTCTTTAAAATCAAAAATAGATTTTTTTTATGTTTTTAAGTTTCAACTTGTATTTAATAATAAAAAACAAGTGGAAATATCTGAATTAGAAGTTATATTAAAACACTCGAATGTTTTTAAGAAAGAGATTGTTTAAGTAAAAATCGAATTCTGTCTCATTTTAAGTTGTCCATTACCGAGATTATATTTTGCATGAAATGTTTCAAGCTGTCCATGATCGTTAATTAAAATCTACATACGCTTTGTGAGCATTGTGAGCCGAACGATGAAACAATATCGCTAGCACATTTCTAGACATCGATTTTCTAAACATTAATTGTGAAGACTCGAAGAAAGGCGAGCAACGAACGAGTATTGAACATAATAGTACCTGCATTGTTCGCGAGAAACGCGAGAAGTTGCTGTTTACGCGAATGATGGTGACTGAAAGGTGGATCCAATGTTATGTACTTCCGCATGCTATTTTTATATCGACTTTTAAAATTAGAAACCCAAAGTTATTTCATTTTCGATCGATGCAAAAGCTGAACAACATGATAGAAGCATAAACTCACAAAAAAATGATCCTAATTCCACAAATCGAAGAGACTAAATAGTTAAAAATAATTAAAGATAGTAATTTATACTTTCGCGTATGATTACTTTGATCATTATTCGAAGCTCTAAAGTTGGAATTTGAAATTAAAAAGTTTTAATTAGACATAATATTTTAAAATACTAAAATTTTCATGTATGAATAAATTTTTGAAATTGAACATGGAAACTATTCAACAAAAGATTAAAAACAGTCTCGATAATAATAAAAGATAAAAATAAAAATAGTGTATGATAAGATTACGTAGAATTTCACTGACATAAATTTTAAAAAAATTTGGAGCATTAAACAAGACGCGTTATAAGTTAGTGCGACATGTTTACAGTAAAATTTTGCAACTTTTGGTCAACTCTTACACATTTAAACTCAATAACGTGAAAAGCGGGCCAGTAATTTGATATACGTTTACAACAGTCAACGAGAAGTAGACCCCGATATCGAGCTGAACGAAGGAACAATCGTTGCACTATCTACGTCACACATACGAAGGCCGTGTGTCACGTGCTCTCTGAGTATAATTTTAGAAAACGCTGCTAGAATAGGACGGAAAAGTGGAAAAACGATAACCGAGGTGTCGTGCCGGGCATTGTACAGGACTCGAATTCGAGCTAGTGATAACAACCGGCGTGAAGTCGGACAATGGCCAATACATCTGTTCGCGTTGACTATGGTTTGCACATCCTGTCGCCTTTGTTAAGAAAAATTATATTTTTTGGACTATAAATATACGATTTTGCAATTATTTGTTAAAGTTAATTTCTGTATATGTTATAAAAATATATTTATTTAAAACACATTTGCAACAGCTATCGGAAAACGCAAAAAACTTGTAGACAGAAGCTTCGACTTACCGCGACAGCATATTCGATTAAAAGAAGACGATAAAGAGAAATTAAATCAATATACCAGTAGATTTAGCTGTATCGAAACAAACCATATCAAGTAGTAAATGTCGACGTTGAATCAATCGCTCAGAGCAACTATTCCGTCATCAACACAAAGTCTTTTAATTAAATTGTCTGTACAACACATATCAAACAGTTATTTGATAACTGTCGAGATACTTTTTTCGACGCTTCTTTATGTATATCTAGGATATTCTGATCATTTTTAATCGAAAGATAATATTATTTTGGATTTATAAAGCAACGTTACAAAGTTCAAAAATGAAAAAGTATCTTATTTTTGATATTTTTTCAATTCTTGCACTTTCAATAAATTACTCTGTTATATTTTAATCTCTATATTATTATGATATACGATTAATTAAATATCTTTTATCCGCATGCAAAACAAAATAAATTTTAAAAATTTTTCAATATTGCATTAATCAATGAGGGAATTATAAAAAGCTTCTTTTTATCACGTTACACCGTGATGTTAAAACCGAATATCTTCGTTATATAATTCCAAAAGTTGTTTTAAATCCAAAAAAAAGGAAAAAGAAGAGCACCCAGGAGGATGACGCGGTAACATGATGACGCCTCCTTGTGATCGCTACTCGCCATCGACTAATTCCCGATCGGCCGCAGTTTCATTACACGCTTCAACGGTGCTCGTCCTTTGTCGCCCAGGTGATTCAGTCGCCAAACCGTGTTTGCCGAGAACAGCATATGACGAAGATGCACAACCACGCATTGCGCTGACCCAGTTCCATTATGTTGTGCTGTGCTTACACCAAAACCATCTCTCTCTCTTTCTCTTTCCCACCCTCCCTCCTTCTCTCTTTCTCTCTCTCTCTCTCTCTCTCTTTAGTAGTTGACCGATCGAATATAGTGAATATGGAAAGACTAGATACGAGATAATACTCGGTGACCCTATAAAGGACAAGATAGCATACGAAAGTTTGTCAACATAAGAAGTTTATTCCTGAGGCGCGCATGAAAACCGAGATCATAAATGAGAAAATTATATCAGGTGATATATAGAAAGATTTCCTGGAACACTTTAAATTTCTATAAAAGAAAAAGAGAGAAAGAAAATAATGCAATTTCAATGGGACTTGAAGTCGGTTTGCTCTCAGCAACGACGTTTGTCGCAACGTTCTAATTTTCAACGTTGAGAAAATAACTTGGTTTCATAATAGTTTCATCGAATATTATTCTTTCTTCTCTACAAAATCCATATAAAAGTTCTTCTCATTGTTAGCGCGACTTTTAAAAGTGTATTGAACGTAAAAAAAAAAATACTCACAATTGAGCTGCGCTTTGGGTAAAGTAGCAGGCACTTCGGTGCAGCCGTGGGTATTCGCAGGAGTCACCGAGGACTTCCTTGGCCCTTTCGAAGTTTATTAGGGCCACATCTTGGTCGCCGTCAATACCGAGCAGCTCGAAGCGCGAATCGAGGCCGGTGTGAACGTCTTGGACAACGCCTTGAAGAACATTTGGGCTCCTCGAATGCCTGCGCTTCTTTCGAGGACTTCTAGGACTTTCGGAACCTCTTCTCCGTCCCTTTCCTAGCAAATAAACAAAGTACAATTAGCAAGTATCATTTAGCTTTATTCAATATTTAACAATGCAGAAATATTTCTGTCATTTTTATGTATTGAGAAAAAAAAATACTAATAAATTTTGCTGCAATTTTATTGTGGAATTTAAGTGTAAACAATTTTGAAATTAACTCAAATTTTATTTAGAAGATTATAAAATAAATCGTAATTGATTTTATATAAATAAATAATTCTAAATTATTTAGAAATATTAAAAATTTTTTCCTTTCATTGAAAATACTCATAAGTTTGCGGTAAGTCGAAAAGGATTATTTTAATATTTATCGGATTAATATGCTGGAATAATAATTTTTGACTTACCGTTAGATAACTTGTGTTGAGAATGATCCATCATGTTGTTGAGATAATCGCTCTCGCAGGGCGCGGAGTCGTGACGTTTACGACGATGGCGGTGATGCTGCTGATGATGCTGGCCTTTCTTCTTATTGTGCTGCTGTTGCTGCTGCTGCGAATGATGCTGATGATGATGATGAGAATGATGATGGTGGGGGTGGTTCAATGAAGAGGAGGCCGTCGAGGTCGAGGTCAATCTAGGTCGACGCGGACTGGCGGGTGCGCTACCGGAACGTCGGCTGAGCGTCGACGATGCCTTCATCGCTTCCACCTTCGTTTCCACCAGGGCAGCGAGAACGGCCTCGAGACGAGCCACTTCCATGCCGCCGCTGCCGCCATCGTCCGTCGACACCGCCTTGTCGGCGACGTCGGAAGTCGACGGCGTCACCGTCACCGTCATCTCTTCACCTGCCCTCGCCGCCTTCGTCACATTACTCTCATCGGCAGCTATCGTGCCGCTGCCGCGATCGGTTGTGACGCGGGAACGATCGGCCCGCTGCCGAAACGATCACAAACCGTCGGCCTTCCGTTTCTCCGCGATGGCGTTCCTGTTGTCCGCTGTTGACAACTCCTGCAGGAAGCGCGACAACATCAAGCCGGCTGCTTGAACCACCGCCGGACCGGAAAAGAGAGAGAGAGAATTTTCCGCAGATTCTATTGCGGCTATTATCGTCGCGACGTCGCTGTGTCGTTAACCGTACCGTTCATTAATCTTCCGCAGGATTTCCTGCTAACGATCTTCTTCCCTCGTAACAGCAACAGTTACAAGCCGCATGAAAGCTGGTCATCGATGTCCTTTGCCAATTCGTCCGCATTAGCAGTCGATGCTTTTTCACCAATGGCTACTACGGAAATACCTCTATTCTGTATATTTTTTCACCGATCCAAGTGCTATTTTATGTTTTTGCGAGCAGAAGAAATTTCTCTCTAGATTTTTCTCAAGTGTCAAATAGAATACGCAATTCATATATAAGCGTCTTGATATTTAAATAAGTATTATATACAAGTACTTGCCGGCAGTATCTGACTCGATCTTGTTTACTTACTGCTAAATGCTTATTAACGATTGGCAAGTGAGGTAAAATACGATAATTCTTTATTTATTTCAATTTGGGCAACTGCTTCTCCGTGGATCCGAAATCACAACGTTAAAGATTCCCACAAATGTAATTGTACGCTCAATTATAGCCCGCTCGGGCATTACTTTGTCAGGAAGGAATCTGGATTCGTTCTGTCTTCCGTGAACCAATCGGTGTTCGGTGGACCGTTCTTGACTGCAACGGTCAGCTTCGCGATGCGAATCTTATTATTAGCCGGATTATCGCTCCATTGTCGATGATGGCCCAGCATTATCTGATAGCAAATATCAGATGATTCGCCGTGCTCGACGAAACGGATGATTTTCCGCGGTTGCCGTAAATATCTTCCAGCGGTTTGGCCAGCGCTCGCGTTTCCATCATACGCGAATTTCACAACTATCTGCTTTACGAGATGATTAATTGAATTCACTGTACTTTATACAGATGTACGCCCTATCACACAAAAGCACTTGTAACTCGATATTGCTTGTCGGTGTTACTTTACGGTAGTCGCTTAGTGTCTCATCAGAATCTCTATCACAATGCTATCGTAACTTCCTCCAATGGATACAGTTAATGTAGCGGAAAATAGCTCTAGATCGTTTCTAATTAATTCCAGAATCAATTGCCCGAGTATCTCGAGGGACTTGCAAAAAAGCTCAAAGTCCTTTAAACGTTCAAGAGCACTCTATTCAATGACGCGCCACTTCTCGTAAAAATTCAGTGTATCGCATCTTTTGTAAATACGAAATCGCGTTCGTAATGCGGTTACCGAGATGCGGTCAGGTCGATCGGATCGATCTATGTCGTCAAGATGTCGGGTAGAATGGCGACGATGATGGATCGACCTGTCTTGGAGCGTGTATTTTCGAAACAAAATCAGAATTACGTTGCTCGCTTCTATTCGAGCGATTTCGCTCGACCCTTTCCGACTATCCGCGTAGCTAATGACCCCATTCTGCCGTGCGACGCAATGCGAAGGACGGTCGAAATATCCAGCCATGACAGGCTACAATGATACGAGCCATGAGAAAATTAAATAATTGTTTCAATTAATGGAGATTAAAAATATTTGTCGAAAAATTCTTGACTTTCGAAATCTGCCAATAACACGATATCCAAGGAATAATCATCTATTGTTAAATCGAGGATTTTTTATTCCAATGTTGTCAAATATTGAAATTGTCAGATTCCAAAATGTCGAAAATTATCAAGGATTATACTGATATCGTCATAAATTTTTACATCTCGTAATACACACATTTACAATTTTTTGAATACCTTAAATATATTGCAATTGTTTTAATTTTTCTAAATAATGTTGAAGAAAATTCAAGGAATATCCTCAACAAATGATAAATAATTGAATTTCATTTTATCAATTTATCTCGACAAATGGCAGCGATAATTATTAAATGATCCACTATATATCGTAAGTTTAGAAGATGCTACACGTGCACATGTTAAAATAAACATAAAAAATCTTTGTTGTCACAGCAATTAATTAAAATATAACATAAATTACAATATATGATATTTGAAATGTTTCAACAAAGAATGTAAATATAACGTTATAAACATTAAAAATAACGTGTGAGATTCATATATTTCCAATTTTATTAAAATTGGAAAAATATTTTATAGACAATCCTTTGGTGTCTTAAAAGAAATCACCGTATCTACTGAATTTAAATAGGATAACAAATCATTTTCTCGTTCGTGAAACGCGATAAAGAGATAGAATAAATAAAGAGTAGCTCGATTACGAGCGTCATTGCTCTAGCCTCGATTGCTCTAACGTCAGAGCATCTACATATATAACTCGGTCGGCTAGCGCATTCGATACATCAATACGCTTTGGCAGCCGATTGACCATAAAATTCACTTGATACTGTGTATGGCAGGAATACTGGCCACGAATAGAAGACCGTCCCGCGCTTTGAGTCAGCCAATGATTCTGTGATTTTATCCGTATCGCGGGTTAGACTGTCGAGATGTCGAGCACGACCCAGTACGGGCTTCAAGCTACCTCGCAGCTATCTTCGAACATTGTCCTAATTTATTCACCGTGACACAAAGCGTCCAATTTTCTTACGTTGCTCTTAATTCTTCGAACGATTTTTTTGCGGATCCCAAATACAATGGACGAGCTTTTTTCGTGTTTCTCCAGGGAGTAAGACGGAAATGAAGTTATCTCGAAGATGCACATGGTAAGCATTTCATGAGTAAGCAGAAGCGTCGAAACAAAGCGTACACTAGGGGGTGGCTAAACATAGATAAAGATAGAGAGAAGAGAGAGTAAGAAAGATAATGCAAAATAAAAAAGGAGATGCTTTTAACAAATATCGCAAGCACAAATTGTACTTTTTTTTTTTTATTTTACAAAATAATTTCTGAGTATATTTACCTTTAAGAGATAAGCAAATTAGAAATCAAAATAGAGTAAACGAAGAGATGGCAAGCAAAGGGTGACACAACGCGAGCATCACGAACGCGAGTCTACTTGATCTTTAAAAAAATCTTTTTTTATTTTAAATAGGTAAATTTCAAACAAAAAGGAGAGAAAAACAAAGATAAATATATGCAACGTACAAAAAGAGAAATAGACTAAGATAGATTATAACAAATCTCTCTCGGGTATCACGCGAACTGAAACTACTTGTTGTCACATACGCACGCACATATGCGGACACTACTTGACGCTCCGCGTTAATTCCGTTCATGTACTACTCACTATTCGCGCACCCTCCTGCACTCATTTAGCTTGGCAACCCTACATAATTCCACATCTCGCAGAGATGCTGATCGGAAGGTCCGGCTAGGTCTCCTACGCCCAGTACGAGAGATCGTGACGCTTTCGAGCACCTCTCGAGACGAGGGTTGATTGAGCGATTAGCGTGCCACGCGGGATTACGTCACGCTAATCCCACGTTGCTGGCTGCCACTGTGTTCGGCAACGCTCTCGGCATGCCGCTGTCCCGCGTAATGCACTCTCTACAGATATACACACGCACACGCATATACGACGCGGTAGCGCGCAACCCCAACGATGGGATATCGCGTGCGCGGTCGTGTTAGCGATCGCCCGAGTACTGGGGAAGCGTCGCGGACAGGGTTGGCGGCGGGCAGGTAGCCGTTCTGGCAGGGTTGCTTTCAGCCCTACCCCTTCCTGCCGACGCCGCCACCACCATTTCCAGCACCACCGACGTCGGCGCCGTCGTCACACCGAGGGACGAACGACTCTTCTCCCTCCTCCTCAACCGAAGCTGGGACCCCTCTAAGGATGCCAACGAACCGAGATGTTTATCTTTCAAATTTATGATTTCTTCGTTTTATTCGGCACGCGAGTGTGCCAGTTTCAGCGTCTTTGAAATGTAAATCTTCGCGTAAGTTAGCCCGATGAGGGACATATCGCACGCAATATTCCATAAGTAGCAAAGTTTCTCCAGATTAAAACTAATCAAAGCTAGATTAACAAAAATAAGATCTACAAAGAATTGATGACCTTAACAAAATAAACTCTTGAATATTAAAAATGTGCGAAATGCGAAAAAATAATAATAAATAATAAAAAATATCAATTTAATGTTAATTTTAAAGTAATTATAATTATGAGCTGTTGTTATTAGCTTAATATATTATTAATTTAGTATATGCGTGCGTGTGTACACGTTTTGCTCTTTTTATGAATGCATCTAAAATGATTGGTCTTTAATAACTATTGAAATGATGAATGATGTTGGCGAATGGCGAGTTATAGTTATAGGCGAGTTATAGTTATAGGCGAGTTAATTTTAACAGACTGTTAAAATTATCTGTGCAAAACTGTCCGTTCCATAATCTTTCCAGGAAAAAGCCAACGTTACAGATTCTGTGTTAAACCTGGGTTTATATCGAGGTATAAATCATTTTATTGCTTGTGCTGCAACCGCGCAGTTACGGGTTACGTTATAAAGATAGATAGTGATACTCGCTATACAAGAACGACACATGAACGTAAAATCTCACGTTTTAATCGCGTACCGTATTACAAAGCATTTCTGCCATTATTTTACATCGCGATTGAACGAATCTCGATATCGAGTCTCGGAGAAAATAAAGAAATGACTTTCATTATCCAGACGAGAAACTAAAACTCTTTCATGCCTTTTTCTCAAAATGTAAGGGCAAATTGTGACTCTCGTTTCTAAGCAGTAAAACACCTTTGTCAGTTTGATTAGGCGATCTTGAGAGACGTCTTTGGAATGACCTCGCCTTTATTAAATCGCCTTTGGGACAATCTCTTTTACAGATTTCTTGTCGCCGGAATTATTCGCTTTAGAAGATTTCCAGTTCAGCCCTTCTTCATGCGTGAAATTTCACTTGCCTTACATTTCACTGCACTTTACGCAAAAGTGGAAAACTGAAATCCAGTAGCAATAGAGGTGCAATATGGCTCCCTCGGTGCTATTTCGCGTCATGAAATAAGCGAATAAAAATTTAGCGATTGAATTTATGACTAGCGGGAACGAAATCGTCGAAATAAATTTAATCGATCGACCTGTAGCTCGGTAAGGACGCCCCGACAAAATTCCCTTCCATTAGCAAAGCCTTTATATATATTCGTTCTCCCCTCAGGCATACTTTCGCATCGCCTCCGCAAGACGATTAGCACGTATACTATTATCTGAAAACATAGCGAAGAATTTTAGTGGAATTAGAGATATTCCAAGGACGATGTACGTTGCATACGAAAATGAAAACGTACGTGCGTAGATTAAAAAATAAAATCTTTTCGAAATAAAATTATTTTAATAAATTAATGTTAATACTCTCCTTGTATAATGTTTTTTTAATTATTCATAGAGTAAATGCAATACATAATTTTTTATATCATTAAACCTTATAAATTTCTCATATATATATATATACATATATATATATATATATATATATATACATATATATATATATATACATATATATATATATATATATATATATATACCTGTGTATGTGTATGTTTGTAATTTATTGTTTAAATTTAAACAATAAATGTATCTTATTGTAAATATAGAAATTTATTTTTGTTTGCGCATGAAATATGATATGAAGGAAAAAATAAAATCTAATAAAAAATAAAAAAAAATATATATATCTAATTATTTATATCTTTCTACTTCTGTTTAATATTTTTCTACTTCTATTTAATATGCTTATATAACTTGAATTAGTATTAGTATTCACTGATGCTTAAAAACATATATGTTTGTAGATATCGCAAGAATAACTTTATCTGTTCCGCACGAATGAATCGACGGAAAACTTTTTCTTTTCTTCTTCAAGAAGATATAAAGGGGGAACTCGATTATTGAATTGGCGTTATATCGGTCAAAAGCTATTATCAGAAATATATGACTAATTTACTCAAGTTAAATAATAAAAGCTCAAGCATATTACATTTATGTAAATGATTAAAAATAGAAATCTTTTTACTTTAAATGATTAAGACGTAATACGGTAAACGTTGAAAATTGTTTACCATATAATGCTAAATTGTAATTTCGCATATTATTCAGGGACAGATCATTAATTATCAGTTTGGGTCGGCCCCTCTTCATTCTGAATGACGACCTCAAATTCTTCCGAGGTATCTTCCTATAAAATATAAATTCAAAGAACACAGTTTAAATTTGTGTACATTTAATTTAATTTTACATCATTTGGAATAAAAAGTAATGATAATTAGACTTTTTGTCTATGTTTAATTTCAATAAGTTATTTTAATTTTTCCAGTTTTTTAAAAATTCATTAATTATAACAATATGTTACAGGGGTGAGACTCGAAAGTTTTATTTCTTTTAGCTCTCAGCTTAACGGGAAGACAATTCAGCCTACGCACCAGCTGAGAGTAGGGCAGAAATCAATTTCTGTCCTTCTTGTAGGGCGTGGTTTTGATGGGTCCTGAGAGCCATCTTATCGTGCGAAAAGTTTCAACGACAAATCACATTTGGGGATCTTACAGAACGAAATTCGATATACGTTACAATGATAAAGTACGTCGTTTATTCCGATCTCTATCATTGCGAATATAAAATTTTATGTAGGGTCGAGAAAGAAATCAAGAAAAAACGTACCTCTTTAACATACCTTTGTCGCATGAGATAATCATGACGCTGTTTCTCAGGGAAGGACATTGGCGGTACGGGCCACGGAAACGTCAAATCTCCCTTGCCGTTATTCAATTTAAAAAAAAACGAAGTCGCTATTACGAAGGGTAACGTCAAGACTGAAGATAGTTGCGTCTAAAATATAATACGTTGAATATGTGGAAAGTATTATAAATCAACAAAGAAAAGGAAGGCTTTAATTACGTTTATAAATATTGATTCTAAGGAATACTGCACAAGCGAAGTAAAAATGATTCCCATGACAGCGGCAGCGGCCGTTTGACCATTCAGCACGAACAAATTTCCTCCTAAAGCACTTCCGGTCAATACATTATTATATCCCCAGATTCCGTTGTAAACTTTATCATGATCTACTCCGAGTTGCAAACCTAATAGAAAATTGAAATTTGTGATAATAATAATTTATATTCCTAGACTTTTATGTCTGATTGCCTGTATTAACGCTGGAAAGTTTCATATATTCATTATACCTTATTAATAAACAGTAAACAAAATTAATGATTCCCTCATATCTTCTCTCTTTTTTTCTTTTCCGTTCTCTTTTTTTTGCACATATTTTTGTATAAAAAATTTATGTAAATACCTTTCTCTTTTTTTGCACATATTTTTGTATAAAAAAATTATGTAAATACCTTCCTCTTTTTTTGCACATATTTTTGTATAAAAAAATTATGTAAATACATTCCTCTTTTTTTGCACATATTTTTGTATAAAAAACATTATATAAATACCTGCTAAAGTTCCACAGAAAGCGCCAAAAAAAGAAAACACGGTTGATGTTGGCGAATACATTAACATTGCCAAGTATATGACAGCTCCAAGGATCTCGTTATTGATGCCATACACTTGCGCCGAGGAAACGACGCAACCTCGAAATACCTAAAATATATTTGAAGCATAAGCAAATAGATTGATATCTTCATTTATATATTTTTTGTATTGCATTTTCTCGATAAAGAAGCAAAAATATTCATTTCATTTTGTTTTTATTACAGTAATTTCGAGTAGCTGTAGAAGAAATTCCTGTGCACAATAAATATCAATATCGCTATGCGATATTCAATAAAATGAAATTTAATAGGCTCTTGTACTCAGTAGCTGTATGTATATCAATTATATATAAAATTCGATATAGCGAAATTGCAAAATGCAATTGCAATGTAACGAATTAAATTTGAAAATTTATTGAAATGCTTAGAAATAAAATTTCGCTATACTATATCGTACTTGTATACGAAAAAGATTCTAAATTAACAATAAAGCTAATAAGGTCCTCTTGTATTTTTTAAGAGATCCGCGAGATACTAATATATGCTCGAAATCAAAGTTACAATGTTACAAAAAGTGGAGCACGAATAAATTCTACCATTCCCCAGTTGACATAATCGTTGCTCTCCGCGTAGAAACCGGTGCTGTTCATCGTCGTCATCGTTGTCTCACTTGTTGCATTGTGCTGAAAACAATGGCAAAGTCTTGCACAATAACTCGATGCACATGATGCAGAAATGCACGAGGTGATCTCTCGACAAGTCTAGAGAGGGTTCAAACTATTTTATGATGAAATATATGTCTCGTGGAAAGAAGTAATTTATATTCTGCCTCGCGCATATCGACCTAGGTCATAAATTTTTCTGTAACACGGCGAGAAAAAACTTTTCTCGTAAAAAAAGACGGTGTTGTTCCGCGCAGCTGCGATTTTCACAAATTTTACTGCTTACGATCAAGCATTATTTGCATGAATCGCGAAGTTTACTTACGGTGTATGAGAGAGTACGGTTAATTCTTTTCCGTTATCGCAAGAATACACAACGTAGCGCAAAGATAATGGCACTTTTCGTTCTCGTCATAAAACTTAATTTACATATACCCATAGCTACACACCCAAACGAGTCATATTTTCAAATATGCTACTGTTGTAGCGCTGTTTCTAGAAAAGAACAGTCTGTGAAAAAAAGAAATGTGACGAGAACTCTCCCAATATTTAACGGAAACAAACAACCGACGAGTAGTTAGAGTGAAATAAATCCAAGCCGAGGAGGTAAGTTATCGCCGACAGAGTTGTTCGGGTCAGAATTTGATCAATACGGGGAAAAGCCATGCTCCAACCCACGGTGGATAGTATTTTCCCTTGTGAAGGCACGTCAAATATGTATGGTCTGAATATTGGAGGTTGATTCTTTTCGAGCGAGTTTTATTCCACAAGCGCCGAGAAACATCCCTATTCTCATCAAATTTACCCTTTAAATCGAGAGTAAATTAACTTATATACCTTTAAAATTGATCACTCATTTGCTGTCATTTCAAATGAGTATATCAATTGTCAAATAAAATGCCTTTCGTGTATTGTTTTGTAAATTTTTATAATAATTGTGTTATTATTAAAGGATAAATAATTTCATTATATTAATTTTATAAGATAAAACTATCGTAGTATTTTTACTAATAGATTGTAAAATCATAAAATTCCAATTTCTTATAATATGTTATTTCAATTTTGTCATTTTATGATATTATAATTCTATATAATTATATGTAGAAATATACTCCAAATCGTATGAGTAATATAAATATAAAATATAAAATTAATTTACCTTTTCAAGCATTGGTTCCATAGATTTAGTCAACTCATTCGCACCATTTTGTGTTGAAAGGGCGAAAATCAACACGATCTCCACTAGATTAAATGGCCACGTCATGCATGCGAATGTATCGCTTCTCAAAGACCGCGTCAGATAAACACTAGAAAATATTAACTAGAATCTGTTGAAATTTGCTAACGTTATTATCCAACTGTACTGAATGACGTGAGAATGAATTGCGGCTAACTCTGCAGTAATCTACCATCGCGAACTTCCTATTCCAAATATCTTACTTCTGAATATCGCAGAATCATGAAATTTGGTTACTCTACACGTTTCTCCAACTTTGAGTTGTTTAAATTCGTATTGTCCATAACGTTAAGTTCATAACATTCTAGCTTGAGGCATTATTATCACGATGTAACTACAATGTAATATCATTATATTATACAATTCACTATTCTCTTTGATGATGCAACAAATATTATACGAAGCGTTTGAATTAATTCGCGTATATGTTAGCTTAATTATAAGTGTCAATTATCTCGCGTCAAGATATTATTTGTAAATGAATAATTAATTACTTTACATATAGAGAAATATTTTATGCGACATCTGTATTAAATCATAACTACATTTATCTGAATATTATTCCCGGAAACGTATTTACCATTATTCACGTCCATGTATATTTCGAGTTAAATTAATTATATAATTTACGTCTACTACAATAACGATAAATAAACAATATTATTATCTATTAAAATATTTTCAAAATACTCTATAAAGAAACATGAGATGCCGGAATATACCTGAGTATCGTCCCCAGGAACACAAGCAGGAAGCTGAAGGCATCGAAGGCTCCGTAAATCTGCGGTATCAGAACATATGATACCGAGCCGACCAGCACGGGATTGTATACGCTTAATCCGTTTTCTACGATATTCCGAGGTTCTCGTATGACCTGCAAGAGAATGAAGGAGACTGAATAAAATGTATCGCGAAGCGTGGATTCGCAGCAAGGATATTCCAACATTGGAATCCTCTTTGCTGCCAGACGATGCCGCATTGCAGTGATTTTTTTTCCGTGTGCACACGCAAAGGGTCCATTAGATCCGAAAGAGATGTAAAAGAAATAATGATGAGCATTACGTGATGTGCATCGTCACGTATGAATAGTTACGGTTGAGACGAGCGTCCGTCTCGGCAGCGCAATGCGGCAGAAAATGTGTAACACATTTTGTCTTTTTGACAAAAACGCGCACCGCCTGACACTATTGCGACTAATAATTAATAAAACATACCACGGACAGTAGGAGGCCAAGGACGGCGGCGGCTACGGACAACGCCAATGTACCTGGATCTACTGTAGCCCAGGTAACTATTATCAGTAGTCCGCCGAGGGGATTGTTCACAAAAACGACCTGCAACGTTAATCAAATCAATCGACATTAATTAAAAATACATGCGGCAATTTCGACGATGATACACAGCGTACAAAAAAATAATTAGATTTTATTACTCTAGCAAATTCTCTTTATCAAATGGATGCAGATCACTTTCGAGATATTTTTATAAGATAATTAAATGAAATAATTAAATATTTAATTCAAAGTATTTTTTTATCTTTTAATGATTTTTTTTTTATCTTTTAATGATTTTTTTTATCTTTCTGATTATATAACAAATAATTATATTATTGATATTGTTGCTAATAACCGATTGTTTTTTTATACATTTATCTTATAAAATTATCGTGATTGCAATACATTAAATATCATGATATAAATCTACATATTCTTTTTCGTTATCATTTCTCTCTTTCTCTCTTAAAAATATTTATAGAAATTAGAAAATTATAAAAATTATGATATAATACTGGATATTATATTAAATTTATTACTCACCTGTCCAAATCCGCGCAGCAAGGCTTCAAATAATTGCATCGTATACCAAATTGGTCCCTGCTTTTGCGCAAAGAATTTCTTCAAAATCGCAAAGTCGCCTACGCACGATACCCATGTTTTTTCCTGCCGAATTGATTTTATATATATTGATCTTATTTTTCTCACATAATATTTTACATTCTTATATGTGTAGATAACAATTTTTTCTACAACACAGATTTTTGCAGGATATAAAATCTTTTTAAGAAATTATTTATTAGAGGATAGAAGATTATACGCCGTGACAATATTTTTTTCTGCAAAATTTTCATTTTAAATTTATTGCAAAAATCTATGACAAGAAAAATGCAATTTACTAGAAAACATATAATTTTTAAACTTCGATAAGTTTTCAGTTGAAAAATTATTCCACTTTTGTTTTTCAAAAAAATTGTAAATAAATTATGAATCATATAAATATATTCAGAATATATTTATACGATTCATAATTTATTTATAATTTCTAAATATATATTTAAAATTATATTTGCGATAGAGATAATATTTTGATATATAATATCGATAATATTTTATAAATACTCTTCTTAAGATAAGATAAAATCACATCACTAAGCATAACTATAAATCATGCGAAAAGTGTGAACACTTTTCGCACACAAATATAATGTATTAAATTTTAAATAACACTCACTTGTCGCAATTCTACTGTTGAATTCTTCGCGGACATGATGTAACGTAAATAATATTAAAATTATATAACAAAGTGATCTACTTAATTGTTGCACAAAATATCGTTCAACATATACAGTTAACACATTTGCAATATATTTTGTATAACATTTAAATAACATTAAAAGTGCATATTGTATTCACATCGCATTAAACTGCAAACATTGATAAAAATATACATAATAAAAATGGCAAGTTCTGCTAATCGCACATATGATTATAATCAATCTTATATGTTATCAATAATAATCTGTTGTAACTCTTTATAATAATCTCTATTGTAACTTTTCAATATTTAATTTTCCCAAATTATTAATCGTATGACACAAGATTTTCAAAATTATATTAATACAATGAAAATTTCAGCAAAATATGAATATAATTTTATGTAAATCTTTTTGTAATAAAATTGCATAAAATAATGTTTAATATATAAGAGTGCGCACGTTTATTATATTTATAATCTTTATGCTTGAGAAAACTAAACACTTATAAACATTTATATAACATTTCTCTTGGTATCTATTACTGGTTGAAACGACGTCCGAGATAATACTGAAGCTACTATGTAGTTTAACGTTCTATCTAGAACAGATGGTTTCATTTTATGATGCATGCATAAAAAGTTAGAACAATTTACATCACGATAATTAACACATTATTAACACAGAAATAGAAATAGACTGTTCATTTATATTTGTCCATGTAAATTGTGACTAAAATATATTGCGTTGTATATATTCAATATTTCCGTTTTCAATCTTTGCACTTTAATAAAAATATTAAAAAAAGTGTTTGAAAAAATCTACTTTTTATCATTTAAAATACTTTTTACATCATATACTGCATGATTAGAATGATTTATTCATTCATTTTGCACACAATACAATAATAAATATGAACAAACAATAGCAAATAAGTTGTAGATGTTGATGTATTTAAGCAAATTAAAATAAAATGCTTATGATTATATAGGGATATATATATGTTATATAGGGATATATATTTTTATTATGTTGTTGCAATAGTTGAGATTAAAATTATTCTATAAAACTTATAATACAGAATTCAAAAATGTATTTATATATTGGTATATGGAAATAAAAAAAAATTTTGAAATTTTTCCTGCCAGAAGGGAGAAAGGAAATCAAAGGAGTAAATTATTCCTCTTCAAGGGCACGCGTTTTATTATAATATGTCAATATAATATATGTGCAAAATTATATATCCATGACATAATTGGGATGTACAACAAGTAAAGGATCTTCTTCTTCATCTTCTTTATCTTTATCTCTCAAATCGGTCATTGTTAGAGGTATTATAATTTGATCCTGAAAGTGAATTCGCGCCATGCAATAAATGATTATATATAAATTCCAAAAATATATCACACAATTATATAATATATAAAAATATTAATACATACATGGTATGTCAATCTATCAATAATCTTCTCAATGAAGTTTTTCCGTTCTAACAACTCTCCTTCCGAATTTAATTGATCTTGTATTTGATCAAGATACCATGCAACTAATTCGGATTTCCGTATACCGCCTTTATTATCATCTATTAGAAAATATTGTTCTAATTTAATACATAGACACGATAATAAAAATTTATTGCCATTATTAATATCACTAATATACCTTCGCTTTCCGCACGATTCTCCTCACTTCTCATATGGAGCACTAACATATTTGACAGATTTTTATACTCTTCAAAGGACATTGTTAATTTCTTCTTCGGTGGTTCGTTAGATGCTAGATAAATCAAATAAACGTATAATGTATAATGTCAATAAATGCATTATATGCATAATATACAGATAAAAAAAAGAAAATGCACATACGTGTCTGAGGTGGTGCATCATCATTATTATCTAATGCATTAAGCGCTGCCATGAGCGGTGGTGGCTCATCAATATCCATTCCCAAGTTTGCATCATCACCTTCCTCAAGGTCTACATCAGGCTGTTCCACTGTAATTATACTCTTCTGTAACAATCGTTTCGCTTCTCTGATATGCTTCACTGTCACTTCATCCACGCATTCTAATTTCGCCAATGCTTCAGATAATCTAATCATGCTTTCTAATTGTCTTACAGTGACTCTCCACTTGCCACTTCCACTACCTGTTCTCTGTCTAAGAGCAGTATAACTTTCTACTAAAAGCTCGGCAGCTTCCTAAAATATAAAAATTAAATTTTTTAGTCAAGTCAATTTATCAAATTATCAAAGTATCCGAAAGAATAGTTTAACATCTTACCCGACTTAAAACGGGTTTGAAATGCTTAGCAAAATTAATATATCTAATAATCTCTTCTTGCTTATAAATCATTTGCAGATCATTTAAATTATCACAATGTAAATCTATGATTCTTTTGGCGATAGCATTGTCAACAATTTCGTTACATTCGTCCAGTACAACAAAAAACAAATCAAATCTCGACATGATAGGTGCGGTCAATTGGACATTTTGCTGCAATGATTTTCTCCTGTCATATCGTCCGCCGATGGGATTTGCCGCTGCTAATATAGATGTTCGAGCATTTAAAGTTGCTCTTACACCGGCCTATAAAAACATACATAATCCAATAATAGGTAGTATGTGTGTGTGTTGAATTATATTTTATAAATACCTTAGCTATTGAAATTGTTTGCTGTTCCATAGCTTCATGAATCGCAACCTGATCTTTTGGGTCCATTTTATCAAATTCATCGATGCAGCAAATGCCATGATCTGCGAGCATCAATGCTCCGGCTTCTATAACGAAGTCTGAGGATTCTTCATCTCGCACAACTGCAGCTGTTAAACCAGCCGCGCTCGAGGCCTTTCCAGATGTGTAAATCGCCCTAGGCGAAATGTCGGATACACATTTAAGGAATTGCGACTTTGCGGTGCTGGGATCACCGACAATACACACATTAATATCTCCTCTTAGCGATGTACCCTCCTCTGTAGTTTTCGGTACACCACCGAAAAACATCAATGTAATTCCCTTCTTAATTTCATCATTGCCATGTATTGCAGGAAACAAACTAGAAATTAAATTCTCGTATAGATTTTTGTCGCGACTCATCTCATAAATGCGATTCCATTCCGCTTCTGACATTTGTTCCTTCATCAATTGTGGTGAGATTTCTTCCATTGCCATATCCGTACCTCCAAACTGTTGAAATTTAAAATTAATTAAATAAATATTTGTCTTTTCTAAGAATCTATTTTTTAAGTGTATTTATAGATTCTTCTTACCCTTGAACTCGTAGCGGTAATACTGCAAGCGAGAAATGCTGTTTTATATGTTAATTCTCTCACACCAAGTGTCTTAAGACCACTTACACCCTCTCTTTGATCATTATTTCTGTTTTTTGGCCCAATTTCTGTCTTTGATAGAGATAATGCTCCCACATCTGGCACTACTATAAGAGTCCCTGTAAAATCGTATCTGTAAAATTTAGAGAATGCATTTATAACTTTGATATATTCTCATATGAAATATTAAACATTATTTTCATCAAATCTACCTGTCACCAGCTTGCACCAGCTCAACTGTCTCTGCTCTCAAAATGACTTCAACAGAGCGAGGTATAGAGCCTCTAGGAAGCTCAGCTTGTGTTTCTTGTATCCTAACTTTTTGAAAATCAATAAACACTGAATTATCCATGTCTAATAGAAAACGTCGTCTATTATTACATACTGGATTAGTACAGATTGTTGGATTTGTGAACTAAAAACAATAAATCATTTAGACAAACTTAATCCATCATGCTTTGTATAATAATGTATAAATTTAAATCCTTTAATACCTTAAACTGCTGCTCTACATTCTTGATATAAGCATTACAATCCATACACATAAATGTACCAAGAACTAACTCTGGATGAACTGGATGTGTTCGTACCACCTGTCCAGATATACGTGCCAAAGTACCCAATTTTGATGTGTTTAATTCTCTTAAATTATGTCTAGTCGTTACATCCACAAAACTAACATAACATTCCTTATCTTTCTGTAACTCTCCTACGTCTTTGACAAAGTTACAAACTGCTTGACATAAAAATGGATATACTCTAAAACATAAAATTACCTCATTAATAATTAAAAGAATAATTATTTTCACATATTAATCAAAACTAACATTTATACTTATAAAATATATAAAAATATTTTGTTTTAAATGCTATTATTTTGCATAATATTATTAATTTAGTATATTAATATACATAAATATAACATTAATACATTGATATATTAAAATTGACAAAGATAGATTATAATACCTGAAATATTCTTCCATTATGGTCATAGCTAGGACTTGATTATATGAGTCTATATCTTCAAGAGACACCTCCAATGTACATCGCTCTGGACTGACAAGTTCTTTAGCTGGTTCCAGATATTTAACAACCTCATCTTCCTTGAATCTATAATAATAATATAATTACTATTATTACAATATATCTTAAATTCGATTAGATTTTAATGATATTAATTTCTCTGTTAAATTTGAAGAAATTAAATCAAATTGAACTTTTCTTGAAGTTTCTCTACATAAGATGCTGAAGATCAAGATATATTACTTACTCCTCCAGGAAATCTTGAAACAATTTTTGACACTTAATCCCGACCTCATCCTGTACACGTACTTGACCAGCTTGTGTAACATCCATTTTTTCGATTAATTACAAGAAGGCCACTATGTATGAGGATAGAAAAGCTTGTAACATATTAAACAATGTCGATGAAAATTTGGCGGGAAGAGAAACTTTGGACATGTTTCTAAGAATCTGACGTTTCCATCGTGACGCTCAGGCATCTCGTCACTCGTCAGGCTTGTATAAAACGCTGGGTGTTGCTATTGGTTGAAATTGATTACATGTTGGAAATATGCAACACTTAAATTCCCTAGATTTTAAATGACCGATCAACAAAAATACTATTGCTATACCGACAGTCGATGAAAGAAGCTATCGTAGTTCTTGAACTTGTCGTCCCATTTTCGAGACCGCCGAGAAATAAAGATGCGACTGTAACATTGTGCACTCTGGTGAAAGCATGTAAACTAAAAATGATATTGAGCCAAATCGCCATTTGGATGATTCATTATCCTCATTCATTAAACAATAGTTTGAAAATAACGTGTACATAATTCATATTTGTATAATTATTTTTTCACTTACTTCAACACGCGATTATTACATATTATAACATATTATTACATATTACTTACTTCAACACGCGATTATTACATATTATATTATAACAAATACATACCTTAAAATTTTTTTATTTTTACGTTCGAAAAACTTTTAAACATTTAAATATCATTAAAAATTTTCACATCTTAAAGATATAGCTCTGTATTCCCATTATTTTTTCCTTCTGCATAAAATTTACTTCTCAAAATGATAAAAAATATTTCCTAAAGTCTAAACCGCACATTCGGTGAGAGTGCATTTGCAATTCGCATGACAGGAAAAAAAATTCTGACAGCATAAAACCAAACAAAAGAAATTTAAATGAAGCAGAAGTTACTCATTATGCAGAATTCGTTTCGCAAACGTCTCTTCGAGACAAAAGGAAAGTTCTTGATAACACCTCGCATTTCGTGAATAACGCGTAACGGTCTTGACATAGAAAAGGAAGGGGAAGAAAGTGTGGAAATCTTCACAGAAAGGACAGAGATGCTCTACGCATTTCCTGGCCGAGACAAGATTTAGCTCTTAAGCGGACGCGACAACACGTCGTATAAATGGCGCGCGAAATGCGTGCCACCGTTTTAGTCGTTTCTGTGGAATAGAAGGAGGATGATTGCCGTCAACAAGATCAGCATTGTCTATCTGGTAATGAGATCTTCCACGCATTAAAGCGGAGCAAATGAATAATAATCAAAAATTAATTTAAAAAATAATATTGAGTTATGTGTTTTACGATAAAGTACATTTTCATAGGATATCTCGATTAAAAGGTGTCAAGTTTTCATCAATTATCGCGATTTGTTGTATTAGACGCGTTAACAACACAGTTTTCTCTCTAGTTCTTCAGAGATAAAAATTTCAAAATTGGTCCGATGATCTCGAGCTATCGGCCGTGAGCTTGATCGTCGACTGGTACATTTTAGCTCAGGGTGCTTGGGTGCAATGACCCTGGTCCTAAAATGAATCTGGCATTGTGCCGCTACTCTAAGCGGCGATCCATATGGAATGGCATGGCGGGAATGCGTTTCCGAAAGACAGATGAGCACGCTAACAGACATTGTCTAAATGTAGGTGACACGCGTTTGCTTGACGAGTGCCATACTGGCGGCCAAGACATCCTCGGATCCGACGAATGTGTCGCGTCCGTGGCATAGTTATTTGTTGGCTACGACCACACTGTTCCCGAAACATCCGAATCATCAATATGACGATGGTTCGATCGGTGCTGATGTAGAAAAGTTTGTATCCTCCGGAGAACATCCAATAGGAATCCAGTCCGCGATTTCGACCTTAAATAATCGCAGGCAAAAGTCGCAGGTGGGACCTCAAAGGTATTCAAATTTGTCATTTTTCTTTCAATTATGTGAAAGTTTTTGCGTTGAAAATAATATATTTATAGACATTCGTAATTAACACATTGGCGCCGGATGACGCGTCTTTCAGATATTTTATTAGAATCCGGGTGACGCATCATATGTGCGTCTTTAGAATTGTCACACTCCTGTCTTAAAGTAAATGGATAAAATGATATAAATGATTCAATTTCTTTGAGATATATCATAATAAGAATAAAAATAATAGAATATGTTTGCAATTTCTTGTTTTATTTTACAATTGTCGACACTGGAATGTTAGAACGATAACATACGAATTCGACGTTTAAGCTTTGCATTATAATGTAGGCAAACACAACAAATAACATTGGCCTCTAAAGACGCCCCGGTGCCAATGTGTTAATATGTTAATATGGAAATTTTTTAATTTTTTTCATTCAGCTTTATCAATATTTTTTGATTAATTGGTCATTGATTGATTAGTCCTAGCAAAAACTATCTATGTCAAATTTTTCTAATGCTTGATAATAAATTTCTCGATTAATGAATTTTAAAATAAAATATATATTATCGCAAGTATAATTAAAAATATTGAAATTTTTATTAAATTAATAAATTTTTCGGTAGATCTCGAGATATTTTGTAGAAAGATAAGATTTTAAAACACGCCGACTATTCAATATACATTCCGGGAAAAACTTGCGGCACCTCTCTCGCTAGGAAGATATTGCATATATTATATCACTTCTTTCTCGACAAGATTCCCCACGGAAATTCACCAAGATGACTTTTTGGCAAAAGTGCCGAATGCATCGCCGTCGCCTCTGCTGACGTCGACGACGACGATGACGACGTTATCGGAATCTGGAGACATCCGGGAATATCAGCGTCATGCACCTCGACGATTCGCACATCTGGATATCGAAGCGCCCGACAGATACTTGACGGACGAGCCGGATGACGATAAACTACCGTATCGCGAGAAAGCCGAGTTGTCGACGTATTATCGTCGCGACCCACAAGACATAACGGCGGCCATCAAGACCTTAGATCGCTTCCTAAGCCGTACTCTGAACGACGATAGTTATAACAGCAAGTTACATCCACCACTCAATCCCGTTTTAGCCCTCATCCTGTCTCGGTACGGGCGTTACGTGCCCGGAACGCGAAACCCTCGCGTATACGCGTACATGGCGGTGAACAATATTCACAACAACTTGCCGTTCGGCAGGTACAAATACGAGCACGACGAGGAGCCGATTTACGCGAGATAGCGATTGTATCTGATATTGTAAAATCATGAATAAAAATAGCATAAATATATATGAATAATGAAATAAAATTGCAATTGTTAATTGAAACTTGCGATTCTTAGAACCGATATGAGTATGTGATAAATATGTATAATATATGTACGTATAATGTATGTATAATGTATGTACGTATATGAAGATATATAGATGGGTGTAATATTTTTTACATGCGTGCGTATCCTCATAAAAATTTTGAAATTGCTTAACGAGAATTTCTCACAGCTTATGTATGTTCATATAGGTCGAGTATTAAATGTTAAAAAATTATTTCATATTAAAATTACAATCATGTTTAATTAAAAATTACCGATTCTATTTCAATATAATTACGTCCAATTAAAAATAATCCTTGATTTTATTTCAATCTGTACAAATTAATACTCATTTCATCTTTTGCAAAAAAAATATATTTAAACATAACTGTAATTGCATTGAATTAATCACATCGAGTTGTATTGAATGAAAATGAATGTGTAGAGGAAAAATTTAATACAATTAATACAACAATTTCGAATACTCGTGCCTCCTAAGCGTAGGACAGCGTTCGCACAAGCGTTTGTTTGTCTCGATCATTTGTTTGTCTGACCGTGGTATTCGAGCGTATATAAATATTTCTCGCACCTAAATATATGTCCCCGTCCATGTTGTATAATTTGTTTTGTAGTCATTCACAGACAAGACATAACGACGCCTATCAGGGCCCCCAGTCGCTTCCTGCGCGGGACCCTGAACAACCATAGCAGAGCACTCTCTCCGCAGTGCAAACTGCGTCCATCGGTCAATCTGGTATTAAATCGTTGCTGACCGTGCCTTACACGAGTGGTACATGTGTACGTTATACGTATGCGTACGTTACATGCTCGTATCTGTTTGCTCGCAATCGAAAGAATCGATAGAGAGAGAATCAAAGTGAAAATGTGATCAAATTTGAGCGATTTTAAGCGATGCCACGTTGAATAGAATTGCGAAATATTAGCAAGTTAGACTTGTCTTCTTCACGCGACGGTTACACTGTAATTAACAAAATGAATCTTAAAAGCGCTATTAATAGTATCCTTAACTCATTGTCGAGATGGTTGACAGTTAGACGGTTAATCGATATCTCACCGAATTTATCCTTGAACCTACTCACAATCGGATTTTACAGCGAGTTAATTGGAGTAGTTGGAGAGAGAATCTCCGCTCGAGAAACTCCGATTAAGCAGTAAACTACTCTCATTACGCCTTTCTGTCTCCTCGTCAGCCTCAGTAGGTGCTCCTTGCGCGGCTTCATTTATCCAAACCGCGAATTGCGATCGTATTTCTCGGAAATAGACACGCAATTATAAAACAATTATCGACAATTATTTCTAATTTGTCACGTAGTGTGAAGAGACAATCATAAAACCAACTTGTACAGCGAATTGCAAAAGTAATATTTTTACATGTATTCAAGATACATTCGTAACATCGTATAGATTTCAGTTTATGCGACAAATTTTGCATTTATTCTTGGCGGGCACGATTATATGCAAACTCGCGGAAACACATGTCGCGGTTAATGTTCTAAATCTAGCGTATATATAAATATTCAAATATATACGCACAGATATATAAACATCTATCCGTTTTCACAAGATTATCCCATGAATAAATTGTGAATTAGAACGTGAACGTATATAATATATGACACACAAATATATGTTGTGACGGATGTATACGAATCTCTATTTGCATCGGTGAATTTTAATCAATAAATATACATACATATATAAATAAATATATACACACATGCATCGCCATCCCATATACATATGTTTTTATTATTTGCATTGCTGATAAAGGCAATAAATTCGGATGTGTGGAAACGCGGAAATCGCTCGACTAGCGTTATGAAAATAAACGTTCAACGGAATCACGAAGCGTTACAAAAGAATTTGTGTTCGGAAAGAGGTAAGGGAAAGATATATCGCAAACTTGGCGGCCACATATAGTCGTTCTATCTCGTCGACGGAAGCGACGTTCGCCGCCAGATCATAAAACGGAAACCGGGTTCTTAAGAGACGCTTGATTGCTTCTCGTCCGCCGGGAAAGCAGATTGTCGGAAAATTGTGTTTTCAGTAACGGCTCGCCATAAATCTCTTCGAGATTTACGGAAGCAAGATCGGCGGGCCTTAATAACTTTGGCAGATACCTTATATACACGACCATTCGAGATTAACCGGTAGCCGCCGAAACCTTTTGATTCTCTTCGAGAGTAGCCTGCATCCGTATTGGATTATCCGTCCGTTATCGATTCAATAAGCCCCTCGCGAAGGAGACTAGGCGAGGTCGTTGAACCTTGAAAAGAAGTATCATTACGAGAATAGTCATTGCGTGCTCTTTGAAAGCAAGTTCTGGTTACAAATCCGTATTTTTATACGAACAAGATCGAGATTCAGTTTCGTGGCAAAGTGGTCTCGTTGCGAATGTCTCTACATTATTTAAATCACACGTCGACGATGAATATTTAATACCGAAAGTCGCAACAACAGAGAACGGCAGATGCGCGGAAGTACGCGTGGAATTGTAAACGAGAGGCCTCGTCACGCGCGTTTGCCTCGGGTTGAATTTCTCGCATCTCTTTCCTTTAATAGTCAGAACGATATCTGAGAGTAGAATAGATAAAGCGGCTCATTCATCATTCCAAGCGGGAGACGTGCAAATTTCCTCGCGTTTCTTTTCCTCTCTCTTCCCTCTAATTCCCGCGCTCTTCTTCAGACACTCTTCACGTTAGAGCAGCTATACGAGCCCCAACTTCAGGGTTCAAATCAAACCGTGATGAAAAAAGGCGACGGTACGGCAGCAAGAATAAAATATGAGAAATACGTTTCCTCGAGGCATACGATTCATTTTGCCGATCCTTTCTGCCTTAGCGCGGTTGAAAAAGAAAACGAAAGGAAGTCGTAAAAAAAACAAACAAAAAGGCACGTGGTATTAACTCGTCACGTTGAATTTTCTTTTCCATATCTGAAACTTTCTTTTCATATCCATCTAATTCCCAGCAATATGATATAAATTAACGTCATGTAATTATATGTATATGTTTTTTATGTAATATTATTATATTCTCAATCGTATATTATAATAAAACGTGTAACATACATAAAATGCAATAATAATAATACCGCATAATAAATTCTTTGACGTGGAAGAGAGAAAATATATACTTTTTTATCATAAATTAATCATAAAATATTTCACCACGTCGCATTTTATGATCGAATCTCAAGCTTTTCCCTATTTCACGATGCGAGCAACGATACTTTAATGATAGTCTTCTGTGTTCCGAGCATCACCGCCGTTGTTGACGCCTTATCAAATTCTCGTACGAAGCTCCGGAGAATCGTGGAATGACGGAGCACAAAGCGTCGGACGAGATACATCGTATCGGTCGCGGTGTGCTCCGCGCATCCATACGCACTCACCAATCTATACGTGTACACATTCTGCTGCCAATATCGATCAACTCTCCGCATCGACTTACCCTTCTCCCTCTATCTCACTCTCTGCCACTATCGGGAAAATGGTGTGTGACCATTGAAATTTCGATCAAACAGCTCTGATAAATCGGTGGCTTTTCAAAGTCCGATAGGACCAACTGTCCTCCGATTTGTCTCCGAGTTGTGCAACATTTCGTTCTAGGCTCTCCCGATCGTATCGTCACGGATTTCTGTGCACGAATGTAGTTACATGCGTCCATCACAGCCAGTTTAGGATTTTCTCCGTCACCGCAATCGCAAAGAGCCATGGACAAAGAAGGCCTATAAAGAAAATTAATTACTGCTTAAACTTTTGCATAAAATTATTCTTCTGTTTCTCTTCTCACGCATGTACAGAAATCTTATAATATACAGGGTATTTTAAAACCATTATCATTCTTTTCAAGTTTCTCAATCAATAATTATTTTTTTCTTTAGCAATACTTCAATTAGATATAATTTTTCTATATAAAATAATTTCTAATATTATATATTAATATTTTGTATTGAGATATTAAAATTTATAACAAAAATTATAATTAAAACAGAAATTATAATATATTTAATATTTTATATTTATATTTTATATTTATATTTAATATTATATATTAATATTTTGTATTGAGATATTAAAATTTATAAAACAGACAAATTAAATTTTCTACATATAACATATGGCAAATCTAATATTTTAATTTAAAAGATATGATTATAAAAATAATGCTAAACATTTTAAAATAAACATTCTCTAATAAAAATTGTCAATTTAAAGTATCATTAAAAAGTTCTTTTTGATCAAAAACTTATATTTATAAAAGATAATGGAAGTTTTAAAATATCTTCTATAAAAGATAAGATTATACATATATTATAAATATATTCGACTTAATTTAGAGATTTCTATTTATTGCTTGTATATTCGAAAATAATCATTGTCTGTAATTATAAATATTTTTATTAAAAAATTTTTATCTTTAAATTGACATAAACAATAAAAATGGCAATAGTTTGTAAGTTTAATAGTTCTGAGATGTCTTTATATAAATTATATCAAGTCTCGCAAGCAACTCCAAGAGATCACTCTTGATATGCATTCATCTCTATCAGGCCTCATCGAGGAACTGCAGTAGCTGATAAATGCACGAGAAACAAAGAGTGACTTGTTCAGCGATTTTTGGACATCGATCAAACCTCGCATAGATATTTGTTCGACAGATTGTGTCGGCTTATTCGACGCATCGACGTGTAGCTAATCGGTGCAGCGGAAATAACAGATCTATGTAAACGGGGAGACGGTGTCCATTTCCTGTTGAAAAAAAATGACTGCAAAGTTCGTTCTTTTTTCCACAGACTATTTATATTTACCGATATTGCAATTGTCTTTCAAAATCAAACTGAAGAGTTTAAAATATGTCAAAAATAAAGCTGCGTAAAACAATGTCTGATTAGGGTATTGATACATGAAATTATTTCATTATTATTAAATCAAATTGATTTCTAATTCCTGATTTGTAATATACTCAAGTAATTATTATATTGAAAAAATAATAATATTATACTAGATTATGTTCCTTTTAATTTTCTATTTAAAATTAGTGTTTAATTCAATTCGCTTAAAAGTTTATATTATGAAACTATTCAATATGACGTGCACATTAATATTGCAATCACTTTTGAAAATATTATATTATATTATGCATTATATATAGTAATACATAATAAAGTTGTATTAAAATTATATTAAATGTGTATCCAGAAATAAATTTCCTCTGAAAATTATGATTAATGTAATATATATGACATGTATATACATGTGATTTGCATAAATATAACGATATACATGCACATAAAATAAATAGTAAATATATAGAAATTATAGCATTAGACAGAAATATTTTTATAGAATTTTCTCATAATCGAATTGCGATCGAATTCAATGATCAATGAATTTAATTGTAAGTGTAATCGATCAAATTGCTTGCTCTTTATGTTCGCGACAAGTTGAAAATAATTGCGTTGCGATCATATTTATGCGCGCGGTTGCGCGCTTTATTCCAAAATGCGAATCTTTCTTTCAATGTGCAAAATAGCTATGAGAGAGAGAGAAAGAGAGAGAGAGGGAGAGAAAAGAGGAGAAGGCAGGAAATAAACTCGAGATTCCATACGTGACGCAGCCGAGTAGCCACTCGGTTTTAGCGCGGACACTCATGCACGCCGACTCAATTGCGAGGGTGGTGAAAACTACTCGCCGGGAGTTTGCGCGAGGGTAGGTGTTCGGGATATGCTGGCAGCGGTGAAGAGGACTGTCGGTTTCATCCGCAGTTGCGGTTACGACAACCGAGTCGTGGTTCAAGCGAAAAAAGATGAGAGAGAGAGAGAGGGAGAAAGAGAGGGATGGAGAGCACAGAGACGTAAAGACACGCACCCTTTCAGTAATTGCCACCGTGTTTATAATTGTTGCGCTCTCTCCTCCTTCGCTCTTTTGAGATACGACTCTCGGGGTTAGCTCCTTCTTTTCGTCGTCTTTCGCCACTCTGCCGAATCTCTTTTAGCGACGTGTTCAGCGCGAGATATGGAGCGAGACGAAAAATTAGTCCGCGACTTTAGTAAGCGATGGTCCATGTACCTACGTTTCTCTAAGGGGTGGTTTAACACCAACGAAAAAGTCCTGCGAAGAAGAAGCGCGCACCTGCACTTTATTTCTTGTAGTATTTCGTACCTTTCAAGACGATGCACGCTCTCTCTTACATCTTTACGAGGTGAACGTATCATGAAAATTAATGTCGGTGGTAGTGTTTGCGATTTATTTATTGTATCTATTTCTTACTTTCAACTGTTATATATTTACTACCGATGCTACCAATATGAATGATTTAAAACCTAAAATTATCAAAATACTTTGCAAGATTTTTAATGGCTTGATAAATTAAAAAAAAAATAAAGAATGTTATCAATAATCTACATATATAAAAAAAGTATATATATATATATATATATATATATATATATATTATAATATAAAAGAAATATTCTGTCCAATCGTAATATTAATAAAGTTTTATTTATTTAATAAATGTTATTTGAAGATTCATAAGATCGTAGTCATTATCGTAAGGAAATATCAAGATCAATAAAAATGATAAATAAATAAAGATTAAATAATTCAACACAAAAAGAACTGTAGAAATAGGTAAACATTTCATAGCTCTCTCGGATCGTCTGAATTAACGGCATTCGGTGGAATTTGCGACGCGCACTACGCAAATTTATCTGTCTCGACGCGCACGCCGCAGTGAGTTACATCAAGATTTATAACGGCGTCGTGTCGGGGGACCTTCGAAGACGTCGGACGTCGACATTTATTTATTCGGCGAGGCTGCGCGAAAGGGCGACGACGCCGATGTCGACGCCGCCACTCACTTCGAGTTTCCTGTTCCGTCGCGATTCGATCACATCGGCCCACGTCGGAACCGGCCGCAAGAACCACTTATATTCGTGTTTATTACATCGAGATGTGACGTCATATCCTGAGGGAAGGAGGACGGAATAACCTCATCATCGTATCCCACAGATGCGGCGGCGGCGGTAGTTCCCCCCTTTGAATAGAGTCGAATGGATCCGCGCATCGGTTCTCTTCCTCTCTCCGTCTTCCGCCGCTTCCTCATCCCGCCATCATCCCCCTCTCTCTCTCTTCCTCTCTATGCCACCCGCAAAGCTCTATCCTCCGCTTTATGCGCGGCTTCGAGAATTTGCTCGGAAAGCCTCGATACCGACTACCTTTGACTCGAGGAGCACCGAGGAGAAGAGCACGGCGTGCTCGAAAAGCGGGGGTCGAAGGGTAAAAGCCCGATGTCGCGCCGAACGAAAAATGCCAGACTGACTTCCGTCAGGGAAATGTACAGGAAGGAACACAGAAGGCGGGACCGCAGATGGCGAGCTACGAATTCGTCGCGCTCGATTCGCACTTTGCATAAGAACGACCGGTGCACCTCCTCACCTTAGTTTTCTCTCGCTTGCCTCCCCGCTTCTATGTCATAACTTTTTCCACTTTTTATTCTGCCCGGACTGAAATGTTTTTCTCGAAACGCCCGATAACTTCCACCGTGTTGCGATTCGGTAAGAGAAGAACGTTGTTCAAGTATGTGTGACACATTATACAAGATACATCTGATAATCTCTTTGAATTCGCACAAGAATAGCACGTATATATTTTGCATTCAAAAAGGATTATACGTGTTTATTTCAAATATTATCCAATATATTCTGCTAAAGATTAGTGAATAATTATAAATAAATTTTATATCCTGTAAATTTCTCATGAGATGACAAAAATATAATGATAATTTATTACATTTTAGCACAAAAATGTTCCGCTCCTTTCTTTCGAGATCCTTCGTAAAACGCTAAATCTAATCTAAACTTCCCTTAAATTCAGAAACTCGAGAGATTATGTGTCGATCAATATCTTGCCACGGCATAGAGAGGCTCTCACGGTTAAATCTTAAAGACGACTTCTTTATAGGATACAGCGGGCGTGAAACGACGCATCGTGCAGTTTCGATAATCTTTCGCTTCACCGATCTCGATGCGATTCCGCCTTCTTCTTTCAGATGTAAATGCATTTCCATTGCCAGAAGGGAATGACGCGGACTCGTGAAAAGGAAAATAGTAAAGTCGCTCTATCATCATTCCACGTCACGACGTGCGGCTACTTGCTGTATGTATTCACCTAGAGTTGCCTATCGTAAAACGATCGTCTGTGGTTATATCCAAGTGTATGTGTGCAAGGATCAGCAGGGACAGTCGCGAACAAGCCAAGAGTCTCCCTAAAATAAAGTTCTCCGCGCATGCAAGCGGTTCACTAAACTGATAATTAGATAATCTCCCGGTGTCTGGGGAGCATAAAGATCTCTCGCACATATGAGGATCTTGGTAGACCGCTCATTCTCAAATTAGACGACCATTTACGACCGCCCGGGCGAGAATCCCGCAAAAGGATCTAAGGGTAAAGCCCGGCTAAATCATGGTCTTCATTTCACTTCCGGAGTAACCAACTTGCGCACTTGTGTAATGGCTTCTCATATAACAGCCTCACCAGACCTGCAAACATTGCGCCATAGGGACTTAGTATAATTTTCGCCTAAGACGCGGCTAGGTGTAAAGCTATCTGAAGCACACGTTGGCGGTCATAGCGTATTCGCATAATAGTGGCTGTAATAACAATAGTTGAATGAGATTGTTGCATGAAACAGATTTGAAGAAACTGAAACTTAACTTTGACA